TTTTTTAAATCTTTACCCAGTTTTTCTTCTTTTAAACTTAATATCAAACGATATCTGGTCTCGATGTATGGTAATTAAGCCTTCTAACTTATGTATTAAAATAGAAACCAGACTACCTGTTTATTTTATTTTTATTTTAATGGTGGCCACATCTTAATGTTTTTCTTAAACTTATTGTGGTCTCCATCCACATAGATTTTTTGAATATGTTTGATCATGTATATGTTTGTTTTTGTTCATTATGTGGAAAATAAATAAATAAATCAATCAATCAATCAATCAATCAATCAATCAATCAATCAATTATTATTATTATTATTATTATTATTATTATTATTATTATTATTATTATTATTATTTAATATCTACAGATTAGGCCTAATATATAATGCTTATGGGAGGGGTGGCATTAAAACTGGTCGGAGGGCCTATGGGAATTTTTGATTCAACTCCGAGGGCCGCATTTAAACTTTGCTGTTTCCTTACACTTCCGAAAACCTTACACTGTTGATAACCACTTTATTCTTAGTTTTACCATTACCTTTTACAGATGATCGGTGCCTTGCCTCAAAAAACAAGGTGTTTACTAGCCAAAGGTTGTCGGTCCGCACACATAGGGTTTGTAATTCATTTGCACGGGCCGCAAAGAAATCATTGGCGGGCCGCACTTTGCCCACCTGTGCATATGGGCCTACTACTACAACTATAAGCTCTCTAGCCCCTGTAATGTAAAAGTAGCAGTAAAAATTACTGTGCTAATTATTATTATTGGATTTAAAAAGCAATATAAAAAATATGCTAAATCGACTCAGGCTCAATAATTTAATAGCTTTCATGGAAATAAAGAATTTAATGACATAAAAATTGTTATTAACATACATTTAAAAAAAAAAGAGAATTGTAATGAAACAGCTTAACCTATGATAATGCAACTTTAGAACCATGAGATAAAAATGAGAGTATGAAAACATGAGAAAACACAAGAGCCATTTAAAGAGATACACAATGAAACACGTCACGAGTATAGAAAGCATTATTTATTTTTCCTAAGTAAAAAAATGTAGAAATTTTGTATGAAAGTACTACAGAGGAGTACGGAAAACCATTTCTTTTTAAGATGTCTGTGTGCTGATCATCAGATCAGATGTGTAGTTCTGTACATGTATATAATGTATAGCAAACTCGAGGAAGGAAGGAAGAGCTTTTAGAATGTTTGTGAAATAAATATGCATTTTTAATATTAACAATAAAATTTAAAATTGTTTTCTATTTCAAAAAAAATGTGTCACTGAAGTCAACAGGAGTATACATCCAAATCCATGTACCACCATCACAATGCATCGAATCGAATTTAAGATTTTCTTTATTGAAAAAATACTGTTTTAATTTTAAAATAAATTATAAACATTTATGTTTATATAGCACACACAGATACAACGAATCGCCTATTATGCATACGCACTGACTAAAAGAAGACCACATGAGGTATCATAATACTAATATATTTTGTTTTGTATTTTTGTTTATTTAATTATCGTTTTGAAATACACTGGAATAATCATAATTACATAACATTAAGTGTTGTTTAAATTTGTCATCAATAATAATGTTGCACGTTGAGGCGAATTGACTTGTTTTGTCTTTTTAAGAGATATTAATGATCATGTAAGCAGAAACAACATATTTCATACCAATATTGTCAAACTCTAAAAGCAGCTAGTTTAGTATGCGAATCTGGTGATAGCCAGTGTCTGTGCGCTTAACTGCAGATATCTTGGTCCTTGGTTCAATTCCCGTCGCTGCTGTTCTTGTGTTTCAGCTTGAGGGCTGAAATGCAAATTTAAAAGATACACCGTCTTTCCGATGAGATGTTAAAACCGTTGGTCCTGTGTGTAAAA